GGTATGCGATCTTCTCAAAGGTGAGGTTTGAGGCGGTGCAACATATGATGGTTTGAGTATGGGGTCCTGTACAAGTAAGGAGAGGACTTTTCTTCAACCGATTTAATAGTCCCGACTGTTTCTGGTGAGGATAAATAGATTGATAAATGGATAAATGTAGTTAGGTGGTAAGTGGGATTTGGCTCCTGGCAACTGGTTAATTCTTAATGGGCAATTGCACCTGTGGTCTACGACCCACAAAGCAGGTTCAGTTTTCTGACGATGAAGTGGGATGGGTAACATACCAATCAATTGGTTAACCAATGAATCCTCTGACATGAACGGTACTTCTTTATTAACTAATATGAAAGCTATGGAAAATAAGTGGATAGTCTTTGAATCCTGATGTAATCTGCCAATGCAAGTGGGCAGGACCTCTGCCCAGTAGTCTCCAGGGCACTCCCTTCTGAATTGGGGTACATCATTATCCCTGACAGAGGGTCTCCTTTACGGTGATGCATGTGCTAACCATCTTCTAGGTGGTAGGTTCTGCTACCGTACACAGCAACTTCTCCCAGTGCCATCCTACAAATTTGGTGAGAAGCTCCTATAGCTCCTTCAAGTTGCCACTCTCAAATCACATCCACCAGGTTCAACCAACATTCCCTGGTGTGAAGACCGATTAAGCTGAAGAGGAAATGTGGATCCAATCTACCTATGCTTCGTGGTGCATTCATTTTTGCAAGTTCCCACAAGCTACAGCAAGTCGTTGCTCTGGGCTACTCCAAAACCGCACCACTTTTTGGTTGCTTGATGTATGTTTCAGCAAGATGGCGTTACATCCTTCCCCATTCTATTGAGGGTAAACTCTATTACAGTCATTCAAAGAGGACCACTGTAATCGCTAATTCCTCATTAACATTTGCCCTCCCGCAGCCAAGCCAGTGAGGTCTTTTATGGTCTTGTCCATTCAGTATGCAACCGAATGAAGGGCAAAATTGCCTCAAGGCAAGATCATGGTGCCGCAATAATATGTCAAACACCTCCCCACCCACACACATGAACTCTGCCCTTTGGATATGCAAGGTCAATTCAATCCACGAGTCACGATTGTCCATTCGTGTAACAATAGAGGCTATACGTTTCTACCTAGGTGCAAAACGCCTAAACAACCGCAGACCTGAGTAATGGACAGACGCTTTCCAAAATTGCGGACTAACGCACTGAAAGCAAAGGCGGCCATAATTTTCTCCCGTTACCTAAATTGGGCTCCAAATAAACTCGCTGCCACCCACTAATCTTGCAAGTTGCCTCGACAACCTAAAAATATGAAGTGGAATTTAGAGAATGTAGTGCAGAAGAGGATAGGTGAGAGAATCTCCATGGCCTCTCTGGAGACTTCACAAGAGGTATTAGACCGGAAGGCTGGTGGGCCCTGACGAAGAGATCGTTTCAAGTGTCCGATAAGTCCGCGTAGTCACACATGCAACCTAAACGCAACGTTTCGTCTTTGATACGTCATGCTTAGCGCTTTCCTTGGACACTCTTCTGCCTTAACCATCATTTTGCGGTTTTCGAACGATGAACAATAAAGTCTTCTTTGCAAACGATGCTGTGGGAATCCACTGCCTCGTATGCTCGTCAATCATCTCCTCTTGCCATGCTTCCCCCATTTCAGTCCCGCCCAGTCGTCTATCTCACCAACCTCAATTACACCCCTGGGGTGGAAGGCAAAAGAAATGGATGGATGCGAAATTGTAGTGCACACGTGGAAACAACTCGTGGTAATAGTTTCTCTTCACTAGGTTAACCATTGAAAAAAAAAAGAAAAAGAATGTAGTTATCAACCTCCCTGTGATTTCGACTGCATTTCGACATCGACTTTTCGCTCATGATCCAAACTGACACCTGTTTTGGTTGAAGTTAAAGAAACGGTTGATGTTTTTGACGAAAATTCAGTACTTTTGAAGGTATCAGAGGAATGGCATGCATACAATTCAAAGTCACATTGAGAAAAAAATCACATATGATGCCTGTCAGTAAGGTTAACAACTGTCAAGCGAAATTTTTAGGACTACCCCAACTATGAATTAAGAAGACTTGCCATTTATTAGCTGAAGTGCATGAGTGACACGGGCTTGGTGATTTACCTGCCTCTCTTCTTTGCAGATTGCCTTCCACTTTATGCCGTACTTGATAGGATTTCAGACATCCTAGCCACGGTTACCACTACGTGCTCACGATCAGAAAAAATAGAGTTTATGAGAAAATTTTCTTTACATATTGAAGAGACGTTATAAAGGCATAAGCTGAAAGAACCCGCCTCATTTTGGAGCCCGTTGTGGTCGCAGACACAAACTTCATTTCTCCAATAGAAAGTGATCTACTTCGAAGTTGGAGTCGTTTGAGCCAGCTCAACACACTTCAAATTAGCTATTTGACGAAGGCACTAATTCTTAATTATCAAAAGTACAATGACTATGCCTTGTGACCCACTCGTCTTGTAGCAAACTTATCAATGAAATTAAGCAGTGACATGTGTGCTCCAATGCGGAATGACTTCCAGCTGCTTAGCTGTCAAGATCAGCCAAAACGCCGTTTCCATTAAAAATTACTGCTGTTAACAAGGAGAACCTATGGCCCGGGTTATGGGAGCTACTTGAAATGATATATTGTTCATCTGTTGTAATATATTATTGAAGTCGAACACTGTAGGCTGGACAGAAGAGTTGGTAAAACACACGTTTTTTTGAGGAGGTAGAGGCGGAAAACCAGATGTCCTTTGAGGTGGCTGTGGAGAGAGTAAAATTAAATTGAAGGGCATGGTTGCTTAATTCAAAAGGAGACCTGTGGTTTAATTATCTCTTACCTGTAGGTCTGATGCTAGCTATGGTGAGGTGATGGTAATAATGATTGGTGGAGGGAAGCCAACTGAGGCTACCCACAAGAGACAGTAATAATATGTTCGCAAGCATGATCACGTGGCAGTCACTCCGATTCGTCTCACACAAAAAAATTGCTTTCTTAAGAGGGCTTTCGCTTCATTGTTTGCAAGGTAGATGACTGTGCCTTAGAGAGACTCAACTTGTTGGTCCAATGAAATATGTGAATGCCAATATTGCGAGTCATTTTTGATGTAGTTCCAACCTGTATTTTGAACATTTGATTCTCGTTGGCCTTGTTTACTGTCTGTAGACAATGTGCGTTTCCAGACGAGCTTCATTAATACCAGCCCTTAAGTGTTCACTAGGGGAATATCCACGATCCCTGGGTATCAGAGACACGGGCATTAGCATCCCACTTCCCTCCCCCCCCCCATCGGTGGCTTAAAGGGTTCAAATAAGGAGACCTAGGCGAAAATGGGCAAAATCTTCTCGAAGTGACGTAAAAAACTCCTTTGATCAACTTAGGGTTTGAGTGAAAGCTGCCACGTATATCCTTGGAGTTTGTAGGAAAAGTGGGGAGGCGACACAACCCTCGTTCCTTTACTAGGTTTTC